ATGGACACTGTAAACAAAGTTAACCATCACTGACTTCAGTTTCACTGCTTCGCCGACGACATTCAGCTCCACATCTCCACCAAAGCCATCACTCCTGCCTCTCACTCTACCCTCACCAACTGCATCACCGAAATAGTGATTCCTCAAACTTAACTGTGACAAATCAGAAGTCATCATCATCGGCCCCAAATCTCTGACCAAGTCCACCCACAACTTCTCCCTCTCCATCGACGGTTGCACTGTGCTCTCCTCCCTGCATGTCTGTAACCTTGTTGTCATCTTTGATCAATCCCTCTCCTTTGACCAACACATCAAACACATCACCAAAACAGCCTTCTTCCATCTCAGGAACATCGCCCGCCTCCGTCTATCCCTCTGCTCTTCAGCTGCACAGACTCTCATCCACGCATTCATCACTTCCAGACTAGACCACTGCAACAGTTTTCTCTATGGTTCATCATATAAAACTCTCAAGAAACTACAGAACAACTACAGTTCATCAGTGGCTCGTCTTCTCACACACTCCCGCACCTGTGACCACATCACCCCGTCCTTCATAACCTCCATTGGCTCCCCATCTCCCAGAGAATCCACTTCAAGCTCCTCATCATCACTTACAAAGCTCTCCACAACCAGTTTCAAACATTTGTTAGAAAAGATGTTATTAAATTTCCTTCAGCTCAATTCTAATAAAACAGGAACCCTTGTAATTGGGTCATAGCATATTACGAAACAAATGCTGCCATCTACTGGTCACCTGTCTCAACACATAAAGCCTGTTGCAAGAAATCTTGGTGTCATGTTCGATAGTAATTTATATCTTTAACATCATGTCACTAAGCTTGTCCAATCATGTTTTTATCACCTCAGAAACATTGATAAAATAAGATCTACTTTAATTTTTGGAGATACAGAAACTGTTGTACATGCTTTTATCTCTTCATGTCTTTATTATTGCAACAGCCTTTATTACTGTCTCAGTAAAAAAAGGACTTCAGATTGTTCAGAACTCAGCCACAAGGCTTTTAAGCAAAACCAGGAAGTACGACCACATCACACGTTTTAGCCTTTTTACATTGGCTTCCAATGTAAAAAGTCTCCAGGGTGCTGGAAAGGACTCCGTCCGATTGTCGAACCTCAAAATCAGGAGGGGGCAATGCGGATTCAGTCCTGGCCATGGAACAGTGGACCAGCTCTTTTCTCTCATGAGGCTGCTGGAGGGGTCGCCGGAGTTTGCCCATCCAGTCTATATGTGTTTTGTGGGATTGGAGAAGGCTTACGACCGTGTCCCTTGAAGGGTCTTGCATGGGGTTCTGCGGGAGTATGGGGTACCAGGCTCGCTGCGATGAGTCATCTGGTCCCTGTATGACTGATGTGAGAGCTGTGTCCGCATACTCGGCGTAAAGTCAAACACATTCTCAGTGGGTGTTGGCTGATTCCATCTAGAGATAGGGTAAGAAGTTAGGAAATCAGGAGGGAGCTTGGAGTAGAGCCGTTGCTCCTTTGTGTCGAAAGGGGTCAGTTGAGGTGGTTCGGGCATCTGATCAGGATGCCTCCTGGGTGCCTCTTGTTAGAGGGTTAGGGTTAAGGTTAGGGGCACATCCCACTGGTAGGAGGCCCCGGGGCAGACCCAGAACACGCTGAAGGGATTACTTATCTCATCTGGCCTGGGAGCACCTTGGGGTCCCCCAGGAGGAGCTGGAAAGCATTACTGGGGAGAGGGACGTCTGGGGTGCTTTCCTTGGCCTGCTGCCCCCGCGACCCGGTCCCAGATAAGCGGATGAAAATGGATGGATGGATGGATGGATGGATGGACATTGGCTCCCTGTTTGTTTTATGATTGACTTTAAAATCTTAGTGATTACTTTCAAGGCTCTTCATGGCTCCAGACTACATTTCAGACCTCTTAATCCCTTCTGAACCTTTACTTAGTTTGAGATCTTCGGGCAGAGGTCTTCTGCTTGTCCAAGAGTCCAGACTGAAGACCAAAGGGGACAGAGTTTTGGCAATCAGGGCCTTGAGGCTCTGAAACCACCTGCCCAAGGTTATAAGGCTGTCTGAGTCACTGGCTTCTATCAGAAAGCATATCCTGACTTTATCTGAGCTTTCTTTTATTTCCCATTTATTACTTTGACTCTAGTTTGGGCCTGCCTTATTTTATCTTTTACGAGATGACATTTTATGACTTTATTTTATAGTCTTTGTCTTTTAAATGTGTTTAGTTTATTGTACAGCACTTTGTAACTGTGTTTTGAAAGGTGCTATATAAATAAGGTTAATTATTATTATTTATTCATGATCTCATTTCAAAAGTAACTTCACCAACATTGTCAGTAAGAGTGTGTTTGCACAGATCAGCCCTCAGCTTTCTGCATGCAGGACCTTCAGTTAAACACAGGGTGGCAGCAGCGCTCCACTGACAGGAGTCAGTCAGCTGCTGAGCCTCACTGTAATACCATTAGTAGAGCTTTTAGTAAAACTAACTCTGTTGTTTCCCCTTATTCATTCATGTTTTTATTCTTAAAATCTGCTCTACTTCAGGTGTCTGTACAACTTCAGGATCCATGGCAAGTTGTCAGACTGAAGAAGGACATACGGAGCAGACAGAAGACCGTCAGCTGGCTGCAGAGATGGATAAGCATTTTCCATTTTTATATCAAGTTCATCAGACTGCAACCATCTGTGAATAAATAGGGTTAATTTAACCTTGTGTTGTGGAATTTGCAGTCATAAAAATATTAGCAAATGTGCACTTATTTGTTGTTAGTTATGATGTCTCCAACTGTGCAGGGGAGGACAGGGTGGGTGGGTGCTGGGGGAAATATGGCGAACCATCACGGTACGCCATATTTCCCCCCAGCAAACCTCCTCACACTGCTGGCAGGTGAGGAGGTTCATTTGCCATTTGCTGGTGTTTTCTGTGTCTCCAAATTCCACAACACAACGTCTTCTACTTTTTCATAGATGAGGTTTGCATATTCTCTCCGTGTAGGCATTTTTACCTCTCAATTAACAAATAAACAAGTCAAGTCTGTCAATGGAGCGTTGTTTTTGTATTGAGGTACCAAACTGTGAAAACCTTAAACAAGTGCAGCACACGAGTGAAAAATTCAAGGATGCCACGGATGAATTCTGCACAAGCACAACTAAAAGCAATGACTGCTCTGCTGAATACAAATATCGAGAGTGAAGGCATTCATTTGGCTATTTGGTGTTAATGAGGCCGACACTGAAGTGCTCTTCGTCTCCTTCAGCTTCTACAATTGCTTAGTTTTTTTAATTTGACATGTTTTTTATGCCTTGTTTTTGCTGAGGATTCCTCTATATTGTTCCTGTTTTATGCTGTTATTTTCATATCTTTTACTTTGATCATGACCGCTGTGAATGCACGACCACCAGGCACAATTTGTGAAACTAAACTACGGTATTATTGATTATTGCTATTTGTTGAAATGTTCATGGAAGTTGTTGCATGCTATTTTAAAAGTAACCTGGCTAACAGAGCTATTCTGATTGGTATACACACACACACACATACACACACACACATAAATATGGTACTTAGTACAAGATCAATAGAAGCAGGGGTCTACCACAGCAGACAGGACCCCAGGTGCAGGCTGTGCAAAGATGCTCCCAAGACAGTTCAGCACATAATAGCAGGGTGTGAGATGCAGGCAGGAAGAGCGTACATGGAACGCCATAACCAAGAGGCTGCCATAGTGTATAGGAACGAGTATGGACTGGAAATCCCAAGGACAGAATGTTAGACACCTCCTCAGGTGGTTGAGAATGACTGAGCTACTATGAGCTGAGATCATGTGGGACTTCCAGATCCAGACTGACAAACTGCTAATGGCTGACCAACTGGACTATGTGTTGATCGACAAACAGCAGAAGAAGGCAGAGGTGATAGATGTAGCAATCCCGACGATGGCAACATCAGGAAGAAGGTATACAAGAAGCTGGAAAAATACCAAGGGCTGAAAGAGGAGCTAGAAAAAATGTGGGGATTGAAGGTAACAATGGTGCCAGTGCTAATCGAGCTTTCGGGGCTGTGACCCCCAAACTGGGAGAGTGGCTCCTGCAGATTCCAGGTACAACATCTGAGGTCTCTGTCCAGAAGAGTGCAGTCATAGGGTTCTGCACAGCTAAGATACTGACTCTTAAAAATCTCAATGGTGGGGAAGAACCGGGTGGGAGGAGGAAGAGAATTCCACAGTTTTGGGGCAGCAATAGAGAAGCTCCTGTCCCCATAACACTTAGTCCTAGATCTCAAGACTGATAAAAACCTTTGATCGGAGGATCTTATCTCTCTGGCTGTGTGATATGGGGACAGGAGTTCTGTTAAGTAGGAGGGGGCAAGACCATTGTGCGCCTTATATACAAGCATCAGAATTTTAAAATCAATCCTGTAGCTAACAGGCAGCCAGTGTAGTGAGGCAAGAATGGGGGTGATGTGCTCCCTCTTCTTTGACCTTGTCAAAAGACCTTGTCACTTTAGTTTGGTGTGATGTCGGGATTACTACAGGAGTGGAAATGTACAGAAAAATGCACATGTAATGACAGCGAGTAGCAGGCTGACTGAATGTGGAGAAACTGAGGAATATTGTTGACATTGCATTTATTTTTCTGAAGACATCACAGGTGGATTGTCATCTGTTTTGTAAATGATTAGGGGTTTTAAAATGTACTTTTTTTAACCAAAAAAAGGGAAACATTTGAAGGTGTTTGTTATTTATATGATATCATGCTGTGGTTGTGCCCACCTGCGATCAAATTGGGCTAAAATGAGTTTGACACCGCTGCCATAGATGCTGTATATGCTTCATACACTAAAACGAATTTATATATTTTTGTTATTTTGTTACACATTTTCAATTAAGATAATAAATATCAATATATAATAATATGCAGTCATATTAACACATTATTACTCGTTAATAATAATAATAATTACATTTTTATTACAGCGATTTCTAAATTTGATCCCGGAAGTGAAACAATTCCACATCCGGGTGAAGCGATATTTATAATCCGAATGAGTGACGGCTAATGCTAAGTATCCAGAGCTAAAGCTTCTCCTCACATCGTATATTAAAACCACTTTGTTCACCACAAATGGCAGCTCAGATCCCCACAACCGTCAGGGCCCCGCCGGCAGCCGCCACCTCTGCCGCTCTCCGGGGGAAGAAACGTCCCGCAAGTCCGGCGGTGTCTGCCGCGCAGCAGGTCACCGGGACCGGGAGCTGCAGCATCAAGAAGAAGAAAGGGCTGCTCACAGTGACACCAGCAACACAGGTGACACGGTGAAGCTCATCAGACTGTAATGGAGTGAATAGTGTAGGGGTTAGGTTTGTTCAGCTGCAAGGAAAATGCACAGCAACCAAGATGTGATGCTACTCAGTCTCAGCTTACAAACATTATTTTCGTTACTAATTAAACTGCAGAAACTTTCTTTTGATTATTCACAGACAAAGAAAAGCAGCAAATCTTCACATTTGAGACGCTTGAACCCAGAGAATGTTGGGCACTGTTGCCTGAAAACTGAATTAAAGGAGCAGTTTGTGGGAAAAAGTGGCATCTAGCTGTGAGGATTACAACCAGCTGAAACCTCTCCTGGTTAGAATTCTGTCAGTGTTCATTGTTGGATAAGTTTTAACCAGGAGCAGAATTATCCACACAGGTCTCCTTCTACCCAGAGCAAACAGATATAGTGATTATAGTTGGTAACAAAAAAAAAAGAAGGAATAAAGCAGTTTCATGTTACATATCAGTGTTTCTGTGATGCATTTTTTCCTCTGGTAACTGAAGATCCAGTAGCTGTATTTTACAAACATTCTGATAATATTCTGAGAGCTCCTAATTTAGCCTAATATCTTTAAGTAAGGAGTCCTAGCATAGGCGTGATTTAGGAAAGTTCTTAGAGCAGCTCTGAGCAAGTGATGTGATGTTTGCGAATGAGCCGAGTCTTTGAACTGGCTCTTTAGAGTTAATGAGCCAGTTCGTGTTGATGACCCCCCTCGGTTAGAAACGAACAGTAGGAAGCTAACCCATTATCAGCTAGCATTTGCTTGTATTGACAGGCTTTTTGTTTATAAAGGACGTTGCTATGGTTACACCAAATTTTATATCTGTGGAGTCTATTCTGGGTCCACGTTACAATATCCAGATCACGTAATGCGATAAATCAGCAATGCGATTCATCGTTGAACCCACCCGTCTTTGTTTGTGGCATTACAGCGTTATTGCATTGGGCGGGAAATGTGTGTGTATCCCTAGTGAGATCAACCACAAACATTACTCCTGCATGACCTTATCTGTAGCATTTCATTTACTCACATCCAGCGTTTTGAGAATATTTCTCCGACCTCTTTGTGTTTCCACCATTTTCTTCTCTTAAGCATCTTGAAAGACCTTCTCACTGCTCCTAGCAGTTTTTCACCTCAGAAACTTTTATATTTACCAGGACCTAGTCTAAACTTTAAGGGGTGATTCTCAAATAACGTCATAATCCTAAGACTTGTCGTAGAATTTTTACACAAGGAGCAACTTTTTGTACCAGGAAGATTTGTGAATACGACCCCAAATGTTCAGAAGGTTCTTACCAGGAGCTAAATTACCCACAGAGGTCTCTTCCTCTCCAAAACAAACAGACTTGATGATTTAAAGTGGTAAAAACACTGAATAAAGCAGTTCCACGTTAAAAATCAGTGTTTTCGGACGCCATTTGTCTTGCTCTGGAGGGGCTGCTAACTATGGTGGCTGATGCGAACAGTCCTATCAAGAGCCAGTTTTGGCGCTGGGCTATTTGAGAAACATGGCGGTGCAACATGGTGATCTCCATGGACGAGGACCTGCTCCTTATGTAGAGATAAGCAGCTCATTTTAACACAACAAAACATGACAGTTGTTATTTTCAGGTGATTTTACACAAAAAAGACCCACTAATTTTATTTATTCCATTTCTACTAATATATCCCCCTAAATCCTACAAACTGAACCTTTAAACTATCAATCAATCATCTAAACACTGAGTAGATGTTTCAGATCTAAGGGCAGAAGCAAACAGTGCATCACAGAAACACAGTGCACACAAATGTACAAGTATCAGCGTCACAACAGCTACTGAGACAGTCATTAAGTTGTATCTTAAAGGTTCACTTCACACTGTGTTCAGCCAAGTGTAGATTTTGTTTACATTCAAAACACTTGTATAACAAGTAGCTTAAAATCAAATGCGATTGCTGTTCGTCTTTCATGTCTCATCAGATAACAGCCGTGGAGTCAGTGGCTGAGGTGAAGCCAGTGGGAACAGCTGACTGCTGTCCAGCCACCATCGCAGAGCCCCCAGCAAAGCCTCCGCCGTTCAAAGACCCCACGTTTATGGTGAGCAACCACGTGGGTTTTAAGTTTATCTCCGTCTTTGGCTTTTCACTCAACTTCTCCCTCTTCTACTCCTCCTCTTAATCTCGGGGCAGCACTCGGGGATCGGTGGAGCAGCAGCAGGTAAAAAGAACAGGACCTGGAAGAATCTCAAACAGATTCTGGCCCTGGAGCGGACTCTATCCTGGAAGCTTAATGATCCCAGCTGTGAGTTTTTGTATCTTACTTTAACCTGGTACACATGCTACATTTTTTATATCAAAACAAGTCGGCTCTGTCTAACCCCAGTGTCCAAGATATAAATTATTTTGTGTTATGAATAATTTTTAAGGTGTGCAACAAATCTTTGGTTTAAATGTTTTAAAGTTTGAAGCAAAAGTACATGTTACTATTTTATAAAGTGATCTATTCTACCAATGTTTAATATGAAACTGAATCTCACTAATATGTTGTGTCAAAACACTATTACAGTGCCCTCCAAGAGTATTGGAACAGTGAGGCCAATTCTTTTATTTTTGTTGTAGACTGAATATATTTGGGTTTGACATCAAAAGATGAATATGGGACAAGAGATCAACATTTCAGCTTTTATTTCCAGGTATTTACATCTGGATCTGATACACAACTTAGAAGATAGCACCTTTTGTTTGAACCCACCCATTTTTCATGAGAGCAAAAGTATTGGAACATGTGACTGACAGGTGTGTTTTGTTGCCCAGGTGTCTCCCAATTACATTGATTATTCAAACAATAAATAGCACTG